AAATATCTTAATTTATTTTTATATATAGATAAATTTATATATATTTTTATAATATATAGATTTTCACAATTCTTCACATGGTAGAAAAAAATTTCATATGAAATTTTATTAAAAAATGCTATCCCTATCTTATAAAAAAATATTTTTCAAATCCCTATTCCCACGACCAAATTCCTACAAAATTTCACGAGTTTCGAAAGAAATGGCCATCCTAAGCGGTGGCTTCTTTGGAGTGACGATTCGTCGAGTTCTCGGTGACAACCTTGGCACAATCGAAGCCCTTAGAATGTCCTCTCTCTCATCCGGATCAGAACCTTTGGCGTCTCATATGATGTGGCAATTTCATTGGAACATGTCACAAAATGGTTTGATCATCCCAACTGTTGGAATCGTAAAAATCTGATGGGTGGGATGCATCCAAATCCAATCATATTGTTGGGTTCTATTACATTTGGGCCAAATTATTCCAAACCCAAATCTGTTCTGTTGTATTTTGGGTCAAATGGATGTGTTTAGTTACGTATTATAGTTATCTACACGCTTTATTGACCTCAACAACTTATGATAGATCAACGGTAATGGCAGGATACCAACTTTGGTCAAACAATTGGGAAAATCGATTGCTGTTGATCAGAAATACTTACCAAATTTAGTCTAATACAAGGTCGATGATGCATCCATTAATTTAAAAGCAAGATTAACAAGAATTTGATTGAGTTAGTATCCATTAATTTAAAAATTTTAATTTTAAATTAAAATTAAAGATTTAAACTTTTATTATACTAAGGAGTTAACCATCAATGTATCAAAAAAATAAAAGCAAGAAAAAATGGTGTGTGCAGGTTAGTGAAGCTGCAAGAAGTCAAGAGAACAAACGGGGGGAGGAAGCCATGCCCTTATATTTACACGGTATTCATGGAACTAATTTTGTTCATTGCTCTTTCATATTTTTCTTGTTTTCCAATGCCATTCTTCTTGTTCAACTGGGTATAAAAACTTAATAACTGAGCTCATATGTTGAAAATGAAATTGTAATTAGTAGCACAAACCAGTGTTTTATAAACTTGATATCATATACCAACGACTTGTTGATCCGAGTGAAAGAAGTTCGGTTCTCTTTAAATAAGGTTACGAATTCAAGTCTTGTGAATGAAGAAACATGTGTTGAAAGAGTTTTCTTCCTAATGGGATCCGACGCGATTCGATTCCAGATTAATCGAGACTCAATGTGATTACCAAATACTGAAAGGTTAATACTAAAATAAAATTAAAAAAAAAAACTTAATATCATATCGAATTACAAAATATAAACCATTATTTTAAGAGAGATCCCCCACTACTAAAGGAGAGACCCTGCTGACCAAAAAAATAATAATAATAAAGGAGAGACCCTTCATTTGATGATTGGTGTTTTGTAATTTGTTAACACCAAATTCTTCACGGTTATGTCATAAATAAATATAAACATATTTGAAGAAAATTTAATTAAGTGATTTTTTATAACATAAACATCCGAATCTTTTGATTAAGACTTTTGCAATCCACTACTTATATTCCATTTAGTATGTGCTTTTGATGGTATAGAATCACAATTTATATTGGCATGAAATTAATATTGGGTCAATTTTTTTTTTTTTAGATAGCATGACAAACTAAATGGATGATATGTATTGAAGTTGTAATGTGTTTTAAGGATATAATGAAATAAAATATAAGAAGTGCTATTATTTGACGTAACTTTCATACATTTTCAAGCATTTTATCACGCCTTAAAACAAATTTTGTAGCAGGAAATACTTATATATCCTACAAAATTTTGTTGGAGTCTTTTATTTACAAAGTAATAGAATTCAAAAGGCATTGTATTTAACCTCCAGGCCTTGGGGAGATCCTCTTATTTCCAATTACCTAGAGAACCTACCTCCTCTGTAATCAAGTTTTGGTTTTCATTTTTTCTTTTAGGAGGTATCTGACTTTTAACCCCCCCAATCCAGTTTAAGGACTTGAGATTTGGTCAATTCCAACTAAGTACTTTATCACACCTTATAACAACTTCTACAGCATGAAGTATTTTCTTGCATCCTTCAAAATTTTGTAGGTGACTTTTATCTGCAAGACAATAAAATTCAAATGTTAGTTTTAGTTTGTTCGTGCAAAATGGATTGGGCATGATATGCTTGATTCTTCCTGTCAATACATGGTTCTAGGATTTAATAATCTGAGCCTCAGCTTTAATAATCTAGATCAAGGTGTTGATTCCTTAAAATAATCTACTAGTTTATATTATGCAAATTACAAACTTTTAACATAGAAAGAACATTGAAGAATTGTGGCAGGGCATTTGTAATTAATTTCCTTTCACATATTTGAAAATGGGAGGACATGGGGATGATGAAAACAATCCAACCTTAGGCCGCATTGTGCCTTGCCTGAGCCTATCGCAAATAGCCGTGCAGTAATTCAAATAGACAACGACAGTTCTCAGAGCATCAAATTCTAGCCAGGAAGGAAATAATCTTTCCATCTCAACCCTGGACCATCCCTACAAATTAAAAGATAGATTCAAAACCCATTTTGATGAGTTTAAACAACATAAAGTCTTACACACAACCACTAAAAGGTAGCCCAAATGCCAGAGAAAACCGATACCCTATCCATGCCCAAAAAAATGCAGAAAGATTCTAGTAATTTTACAATGAACCACATGATTCAGTGATATTAGCAGTTATACATGTCCCAACACTTGAATGTCAAAAATAATTATTTGTATGATCAAAATAATTACATAGGCAAAAAAAATTTGTATGCTGATCTTTAATCATGTTAGAATACTGCATATTTCCCTTCAATTATACACGTTAACCAAATTCACTCTGTGCCATTTATCTGAGGTAAGTTTGTAACAGAGAAAATTACTACATTATCTAGGATTATGCAAACACAATATATGGTATTAATTGAAGTCGCAGAAGTAAAACAGGAACAGGAGTATACTAGTATATCAACAGCTAAATTATCCAAATTCAAAAGCTTTAATTAGCTTTCGTGTTTCTCTTGTATCCAAACAAACTTATATACTTGTCTCAAGGCAAGGGTATCTAATAAAAACATCAGGCTATATCAATTACGAAATAAAGTGCATCGGATTTTAATTACCTTTAACACAAGCTCGTCATAGCATTGTTCTACATTCACTCAAGTTTTTACACTGCACTCTATAAAGAGGCATCCATATTCTTGACCCAACCCTTCCTTTGGGAAATTCGTTTCACTTTCCTGTGAAAGATCACTGAATATTAAATCCCATGCATAAAATAACACTCAAGAATTATTATCCATAACGTCAAATAGGTCTATGAGAAAGTTTCAAATGAACTTGAAATTAAATTGCTAACTGGAGCAAAATGAAACTCAGATACAAACATTGGTCAATCAAACAAAATATTCACTACTTCTTGAATCATATACCTTATCAACATTGTTTCTAACAAGCATCTTAATAGATTTGCAAATGTTTCCCACTATGTAACATCATATAATATCTCAATACCACAAGTTAAAAATACTGCAACAGAATAAATTAACAGCCTTTAAGTATGATTAGTAAGTCCTTATATTTCAACCCCCCCCCCCAAAGAAAAAAAAGAAAGGCACTGATATAATAAAAACAGCACGAGAGTATTCAAAGGTAACTAACTAAGAAGTCACCTTCAGAAATTGAGTCGATTTGTCCATGGCCAGAGCTGACATCTTTAAGGGCACACATGGAGACCATCGAATTTGAAACTATGTGTCAAATAAGAGGTAGGGAAGTAAAGACTGAAATGAATGGCAAAACCAAAACAATTAAGAAAAAGGACAAAGAAAGTTCTCAAGCTCTTACATCTTATATTGCATCAATACCACAAATAAAATATTGCATCAACTTAACAGTCTTTAAGCACAGTTAGCAAGTACCTAGCAAGTGTACTGAAACTATTGAAATTTGGTCAACCTTTTCATCGCCAAAGCAGACATCTTTAAAAGCAAATATAGAGACTATTGAAACAAGGAATCAAATTTGAGGTAGGGTAGCAAGGAATCAAATTTGAAGTAGGGTAGCAAGGACTAGAAATGAATGGCAAGACTGTAACAATTAAGGAAAACTTAAAAAGGACAAAGAAAGCTCTAAAATTTCCCTTTGTAGTTGTCTCAATACACATGCAACCGTCACAACATGATTTTTGCTAAATCCCCTAAGGTAAACAGAAGGTAGCACACAAGAGGTAATGCATGATTCACCATTACACTATTAAACAAAAGCCCTAAGGTAAGCAGCAGGCAGCACACATGTAATGGATGATTCATAGTTGCACTGTTAAATTTTTTAAATGAGTGAACATAAAAAGGGGCGTACTTCCAATCATATCCTATTAGAGGAATACAGTCATGTTCATGCATGCCTATGTCAGTAAATTTACAGAGAGTGTTAAATGTATGAGGAAAAAGTCTTTGAGTCTAAATCCACTGGTTTACATAATAGAAATCACCAATGCATGGTCGACCTGTTTTTAGAGATCAAAACAGGACTACTTTAGAATATATAAACAACTAAATTATCCAGTAAGCTTCCATACTACTTTTGCATCCAAACAACAAATAAACTTGTCTCAAGGGAAGGAGTATCTAATAAACATATACACTGCTTATTGGACATAACCCTTTCACTTTCCTGTTAAGATCACCAATGTGAGTGGTACCATTAAATTCCATGTATAAAATAACGCTCAAGAATCATTTTCTATAATATCAAATAGGTCCATTAGAAAGTATCAGATGAACTTGAGATTAAATTGCTAACTGGAGCAAAATGAAACATGGTAACAAACAATATTGGTCAACTTTGTTTCCAACAAATATCTTGATGCAGACCTGATTAATCTGTTAAATATAGATAAATATATTTAGCCCATAAATCAGATAGATTTGTGAATGTTTCCCATTGAATTCCAACATATACTATATCAGTACCACAGGTGAACTACACCATCACTGTAAAAATATAATGCACATAACAACAAAATCAAATCAAAATTAGGTTTAGAATCCAACCTGTCTTTTTTGCTTAGATGTAACTAAGACTATCTCACTAATAATAATCCTCCACAAGCAACAGCAAGTTTTCAGCCTAGATCTACAGGAGGCGGATTAGAAATTAGAACATGCTCACATTCTTCAACAAAAGAATTAATCTGACTTGATCAGATGGAATTCATAATTCTAGAACAAATTTAGGACACATTAGACAACAAATTTAAATAAAATCCTTTCTAATTAAAGGAAAATTTGAATTTTCATTGATCAAACTCAACTGAGTAAAAAATTGAAAGAAAAAGCAAGCATGATTAATAAACTAAACTTCAATTTCCCCAATATAAAGAAAAAGCTCTCAGAAACTCAGTTTTCTCTAATCTTCTCAACAACCAAACAAACATTGAGCTGATGGCATCAAAACAGATAATCAGAGATAAAAACGTAGTCTTCTTGATCAAATGGAAAATGTGATAAATTTAGAGAAATCTACATTAGATCTTGATGGAAAACATAAGAGAAAGGAAATCCTTAAGAGAGAACAGTTTTACAAACTTAGAAGTGGAAGGATTGATGCAACGAACCCAATAAAGAGACAAGCAACGCAGAGTAACACTGAATCCCTCTCTACATTGATATGTAATTTGGACAATAATTTTGACCGTTGGAACTTGGCATATGTAGAGAAGATGAACCATGTCTTGCTTTAGAGATGTACCAGACAAAAATTAGTTAAAAGGAGATAGACCAGCAAAATTTTTCAACAATACTTGAACTCTACCAAGCAAGCATTCTAGAAACAAATCATAATTATCTAGACATATAATGCTCTCCTCTTGTACCAAATATATATGTATATATATATATATATACCTATATATATATCTTTAGAAGTCAGATTATCATGCCCTGGCCAAATTATTAGGCAACTTCACTAAAGCTGTGGAATTGTTTAATCTAATAGACAAGCAAGACTCGAATAAATTATTGAAATAAAATACCCATAAAGATGGTGGAACTTAAGCAGAATTTTCATCTTGAAGCCAGAGTAATCACTTGTTGTTTGAAATGACAAAATTGTGCCTAAAGATATAAATTTCATACCTTCCTATGGTCATTTAAAAGGGCCAAGGACAGTTTCTTCTCCTTCAAAGTAGCATTATAGATAACTTGACATCTGATTTTGGAGCTCTCCACAGAAAAATATGAGCTCTTGTTGATACCAACAACTTCAAATAGTGAGTAGTGATTATTTTAAAGCAAACAGGTCTTAACATGTCCTTGGTATGTATAGTGCCTTGACAAACATTCTTGATTAAAAAGAAACATGCTCATAAGAACCCTTTTTTTCCACATGACAATTGATCATCTGACGTGTCTACTTTGCTCTTAAAAGTGAAAATTGATATATAATTTGGACAACAATTCTGACCATTGGCACAGTGTAGAGAAGATGAACTCTGGCTTGCTTTAGATATGTACCAGACCAAAATTAGTTAAAAGAAGACCGAACAACAAAATTTTTCAACAGCACTTAAACTCTACTAGGCAAGCATTCTAGAAACCAATCATCATTATCTAGACATTAGTGCTCTCTTCTTGTACTAAAACTATATTATGCAACTTTACTTAAGCTGTGGAATTATCTAATCTAATAGACAGTCAAGAAAAATAAATTATTGAAATAAATAAATTACCAATAAAGACGGTTGAACTGAGGTAGAGCAATCACTGTTTGTTTCAAATGACAAAATTGAGGCCCAAACATATAAATTTCATACCTTTCTGTGATCATTTAAGCCTTGTCCTTCAAAGTAGTATTATAGTTAACTTGATACCTGATTTTGGAGCTCTTCACTGAAAAATTTGAGCTCTTGCTGACAACAAGACCTTCAAATAGTGAATAATGATTATTTCAAAGTAAACAAGTCTTACCATGTCACTAATATATATAGTTCCTCTGCCAATATGCTTGATTAAGAAGAAACATGCTCATAAGAACTCCTATTTTCCCTCATAACAATTGGTGGTTTGATGTGTCATAGGAAAATCTGCTTTGCTCTTAAGAGTGAAGTTTGCAACATGGGATTGGGCATCAAATGTTATGTATTGGAACAATATATGCTTTGTGATAAGTAGTGAACCAGTAGCTTCTCATCACCAGCATGCTTTCTTAGCATAGCACCAACATCAGCCTGCCCACATATGAATGTTAACCCACTAAAATCCAAGGATGGGCATTCTGTAATTATCTTTTGAAATAACAATGTTTATCCAATAATTTACTTTAGCTAATAAGACATTCGGACCATGCAATCAGAAAACCAAACAAAATAATTAATTAAAAAAGGTAAAAGAAAAAAAGAGAAGTGCACTCTGACCCAAGTGTTAGTCCTTCTTTGGCGATTCTGAGTAGATAAAGTAATAGAGCATGCAAATATAGTTGATGAAAGTAAGTCTCGGTTGATGTTGATGACAATAATGTTGTTCAATGAGATTTGAGAAGAGATATGCAAATGCAATCAATTGAAATACATATTACACAAGAAAAGTAAATACAGTTTCAAGTCTCTTTTGCACACAGTTTCAAAGACAAAATTACACAGATAATAAAGAAACAAGCATTTCTAGTTTTCCACTTAGAATTAGACATAGTTAAACACACAACACACAGAGCAAAAGAAAAACAAAGATTATATTAAATTGAAAACCCAATAGCAACAGCAACTAGTGCATATATGATTTCCTCCAACTTTCTTGTGGTTGCAAAGCCGAATCCCAATTGCTGCCAATGGGGGAGAAAAGAATAGATGAGAGAGAGAGATTTATTAAGAATGGAAAACTCATACTGAGTTGAATCAAAAATGGAAAATTGAAGATTAAAAGGCTTACATTCATGATGCGTTCTCTCACAATGGCCGAAATTTACAAAAGCGGAAAAGGATGTCTTTTGCATTGGGATGGTCTCATTCCAATGATTCCCACCATTCTTTTGGGAATACCACGATTTCTTTGAGGGAAGGAGGATGAGATGATTGGGCATTATCAAGCAAGGGAAAATTCAGAGGAATCCTCTTTAGCTTCTTACAAGTGGAAATCCTTAGACTCTGGATGGAATCACAAATCAACACATTGGAGCGATTGCAGATGCTCTTCAATGCCCACATACGTATCAATGTCAAGCTTTGTAACTTGGGTAGAGTGACTTTTTCTTCTTCATGTGCCGATGACGATATCAGCTCCTCCATTTCCCAACACCCTTCAACCTTCAGAATCTCTAGAGATTGGAAGTAGCAGAGCAGCCATCCAGATGAGAATAGCTTCTTTAATTGACCACACCCAACAACCCTAATTTCTTTAAGAGAGAAACAGCTTGTGGGAGGTACAAGTGGCGATAAACCAAGACCTTCTTCATCAAATAGGGATTTCAGATTCCATAAACAAGAAAGGTGTAGATATTCAAGATTTGGAAGTGGGTTGAACCCTGACCAAAAAACACTCTCTATATTTTTGCAAGAATCAATTTCAATCTTCTTGATGGAATCACAAATCAAAGAACCGTTATAAATGGTCTTCAATAAGCGCAAACTTGTCAAATGCAAGCCTTGTAACTTTGGCAGAGTGACTTTTTCTTCTTCATGTGCCGATGACGATATCAACTCCTCCATTTCCTTACAATATGAAACCTTAATAGTCTCTAGAGATTGGAAGTAGCGGAGCAGCCATCCAGATGAGAATACCTTCTTTAATCTCGCACACCCCAAAACCCTAATTTCTTTAAGAGAGAAAAAGCTTGTGAGAGGTACAAGTGGCGATAAACCAAGACCTTCTTCATCAAACACGCATTTCAGATTCTCTAAATAGGAGAGTTCTAGATATTCAAGGTTTGGAAGTGGGTTGAACCCTGACCAAAAAACACGCTCTATATTATAGCAATTCTGAATTTTAATTTTCTTGATGGAATCAAAAATCAAAGAACTGCTGTAGATGCTCTTCAATTGGGGCAAATCAATCAATTTCAACCTTTCTAACTTGGGTAGAGTGACTTTTTCTTCTTCATGTGCCAATGATGATATCAGCTCCTCCATTTGCAGACACTCTTTAACCTTAATAGTCTGTAGAGATTGGAAGTAACGGAGCAGCCATCCAGATGAGAATACCTTCTTTAATTGATCACAATTCAAAACCCTAATTTCTTTAAGAGAAAAAAAGCTTGTGGGAGGTACAAGTGGCGATAAACCAAGACCTTCTTCATCAAACACGCATTTCAGATTCTCTAATCTAGAAAGGTACAAATATTCTAGATTTGGAAGTGGGTTGAACCCTGACCAAAAAACACTCTCTATATTTTTGCAAGCCCTAATTGTAATCTCCTTGATGGAATCACAAATCAAAGAACCGCTGTAGATGCTCTTCAATTGGGGCAAATAGAACAATGACAAGCTTTCTAACTTGGGTAGAGTGACTTTTTCTCCTTCTTCAGATTCAAACCCTATTATCTCCTTCAATTGCTTACAATTACTAACAAAAATAGTCTGTAGCTTCTGGAGATATCCCAACCACCTAACTAAGAATAACATCTTTATTTTATCACATCCAATAACACTAATATATTGAAGAGAGGAAAATGTGCCAACTGGTAGCGGTGCTGACTCAGCAACTGCTCCTACTTCCCCAAACACCATATTCAAGTTATGCAAAAAATGAAGATCCAGCAACTCAAGGTTTTGAAGCTTCCCCCAAATTCCAATTGTCTCCCATTTAAATTCTGTTTCAGCATAGGGATGGGCAATTACGGATAAATGCTGAAGTTTGGAGAGATTTTGTAGCGGTTCATCAAGTGTTTCAGATAATCTTCCACCAAGACTAAGATATTTTAGATTTGTTAATATGTTGAGGCCTTGGGGTAGTTCTTCAATTGATGTCCCTGAAAGGTCCAACTTTTTCAAGCCTACAAGGTTGGATAAAGATGGTACCTCTCTTAAGGAATGACAATTATTCAGCAATAGTGTAGTAAGCTTCTCCAATTTGGAAACAGAACTAGGCAGCCTACGTAGCCCTGTATTCCATGAAAGATCAAGAATCTTGAGCCCAAGCATATGCTCAAAAAATGCTTCTAGAATTGTTGAAATATTGTTATTGGACAACAGCAAGGTTGTAAGCATAGGACACTTCGGAGGCGGCATGCTTGAAGGAATTTTTGTTATGTAGTTCCTCATTAAGGAAACCTTCAAAAGATTTTCTTTCCATTCATGCTCCTCAGGTAACTTTTTGGCTATGCCGGCTTTCACCAAGAATTGAGGACTGATTTCTAGCGCCATTTCTCGGAGAAGATCATGCATACTGACGCAATCTTCTTCTTCTTCCTTTTTAACCGATTCCAACAAGCAGTTGTCAACCAGCTTATCAAGTATCCCATGACCGTCCCAATTCATTGCCTCCCTAGTTTCCCCTTCTTTATATATAAACCCTTCCTCAATCCAATACTCAATTAACTCCTCCTTTGGGATTGCATAATCTTCAGGATACAATGCGCAATATAGGAAACACTCTTGGCATTGTGGTTCTAGGCTTTCATAACTGAATTTCAAACAATCAAAAATGCTTTCAAATTTACTAAATTTAGAAAGTGCCAACTTCCAATGACGAGGAAGTGGTTTCCCTCTCATTGATTTTGCCACTGTCACAATAGCAAGGGGTACTCCACCACATTTCTGCAAAATTAGCTTAAAAAATGGCTCAATATCTCTTTTAATTTTGCCATCTGAAAACACATCACTTCCAACTTTCTCCAAAAATAATGCCGATGCTTCATTATTTGGAAGAGGATTCACAAAGATCACCTCACACTCCATTGCACGAGCAACATCTTGTAACCGCGTCGTGAGTACTAACTTGCAACCATTATTTCCATCTAGAATAGGAATTCCAACCTCTTCTAGACAAAATTGCTGCCACACATCATCTAGAATTACCACAAAGTTGCCCTGCCTCAACTTTTGTGAAATCAATCCTGCAAGCTTGGTTTCATTCTCATGATCCTCGGGCTCCAGTTTTAATTCCAAGCTGCTTGCAATCCTTTTCTGAAACTTGAGAATATCAAACTTCATTTTTTGCTGGACAATAATGTCAAAGTCTCTTGACACTTTTACCCAAATAACTTTGTTAAATTTGGGTACTTTCAAGAGTTGGTTGTGAACTTGCTTCATAATTGTTGTCTTGCCCACACCGCCCATTCCTGAAACTGCAATTCTTGTAACCTCATCTCCCTTCAACCATTCCAGAATTTGATCTCGTATATCATCCCTACCCCTGCATTCTTCAATGAGGTGTGAAACTCCTTTGATTGAGTGATCATCTATGACCAAACTCTGACCACCATTAGTGTAATTTTCTCCTTGCATACATACTCCATTCAGTGCTTGAGTCTTTTTATCGAGCTTTCTTGATGAGCGAATGTTTTTGAAGTAGCCTTCTTTACAGATCAGATCTTCAACCTTTACAGCAGTTTCTTTGCGCGCTTCCTCCAGCCAATTGTCGACTTGGCTCCTTGCTTTCTTTGCTGGCCGGTTAAGTTGTGTGTTTAATTCTGCCTCAACATCTTGGAGTTGGCGCTTCAGCTTATTTTGCTTAGCTTCGAATTTTTCCACAAACTCACTGGGACAAAATTGATACTTGACAGATTTCCAAACTGCAGGGCCAACGTCCTTCACAATATCAGTGGCTGATTTTATGTTGTCCATCAGGGAGTTCCTGCATGTATAAAATTGTTAGATATAGGCTAATTATGGATTACAAACTTAAATGACCTTAGGAAATGGATCATAGCACAATTATAAGATAAGAGAAACAATTTTTGAAATTAAAGTTTTTGGGAGAAAATCAAATTGAGTTGGAAATTAATGGTGGAAGTACCATGAAGTATAATTGACTTATTAAAGTAAAGAAGCTAATAATTAACTATGC